CACTGACCATTCAGCACATGACCCTCAAGTCACTGCAAAGCAGATAACTCCTCCAAGCAGAATACGTCTCTCTGCTTCATCCTATTGCTATTTTACTTTCTGCTTTGGAAGCCTACCCATTTATGTGGCTGGCTCAACCACGTAATGGGGTTCTGGGGTTTTCCCCAAGATGAGGGCATTCACTGAGGTCTATTCACTAAGCGAACAGAGAAATCCTCCAGTGATACCCAGTGTTTGGGGCCACTGCACAGAAAACCCCATTCATTGTTGCCAAGCCACCAGGGTCAGCCACACAGCTGGAGTTTTACCTGTTTATTTATTTATTTAAAGGATAACTATCACTTGGAGTTTTAGCTCATGTTGGCAATTTCAGATTTCTGCTCCAAAAGGATACGCGCGCACACACACACACATGCACATATATGTGTATATACATTTCCTGCTTGGCAGCCTAAGCTGTAGTGTTGGTCTGAACACTCCTCTCAGAGGCACAGACCATCTGCCCTTCCCAGCAGCAATATATGGAAACTGCCTGGGGTACCTCAGCTTGAACATAGGTCCCTGTACCAATACATCCCCGTGACCCAGAGCTTCATTTTAGGTACCACTCAAAAAAAAAAAAAAAAAAGGACTGTAGTTCTACTTAAATTTTATATCTGGGATGAACCATGCATCCTGCATATGCATTCAGTCCTAGCTTCTGCTCTGTCTTTTTTAGCTGCTCAGAGTTTTCTGAAACAAATTTATTGGGACTTGAATTTTGCAATGTTCAGACTCATGTAAAAAAACAGCAGAGTGCTGCTTCTTTTGGCTGTGCACATCAAAATGCTCACTGCTTTAATTTGTGGCCAGCACTTTTGCAAAATGTCATTGGAAGTTATACTTTCTAGCCTGGCTTTTATCATTGTTCTCAGGAAGTTGTAAAAAGCAAGCACTTTTAAAGTGAAATCACTTGAGTTCAGTAGTTCTGGAATTGGGCTTTTAAGGTTGGAAATGGCCCTCCACGGCTCAAGGATGTTAACGCTTCAAATTTTAGAAGTGTCTGAGCTTTCAGTTTTTGAATCAGGTTGGAGCTAAACATAATCTGTATACCCGAAATCTCCGCTTAGAAGGTAGGGTATGTTTGGGAACATATCAGACTTGATACTTCAACATCAAGGATCTCACTGTTTGCACCGACAAACTCCCCATCCCGGTTCTTTTTTCATAAGATTGAAATCACACAGCAAGAGCTTGAACAGTTAATAAGCTAACATTGGCACAACACTGAAAGAGAGAAATTAAGAGTGTGAAAATCAGAAAAATGCTTGCTCAAAGTGGTAAGCCTGAGAGTAGTCCTGTCAGTTCCCTTAAAACAGATGTTGGCCAATTCTGCAGCTCATCATGACATGACCTTAGAAAATGTAGAAAAAGAAATGTCAGTTCATATTACACTATATAATTAAGAATAATTAAGTACTCTAGATAAGAATTAAGTTTAAGGCTGTGTATGACTTGGCAATGTCTTAGCCATCCCAAAGTATGCAGTAATTCTAGCTCCTCCATGCAATGATATGTATTTTTGACATCAGTGACTCCTTAGGTCATTATATGAATTATATTAAGTCTGGAAATGACATTGTACTTTCCTTGACACCTCAGAATACACATCAGTGCATGGAGAGAGATAGGGTGCGTTACAGTCCTCGGAAACCTTTCTCTTTACAACCACACAGAGCGCTGCTGTGAGATCTTGTCTCACACGACATTAGGCAGCAGGCTTGAAATCTAGCAGAAGCCAAACCAAAGTCTGTCAACTCTTCCTAAATAAATTTACAAGTAGGGAATGGGAGAATGAGATGAATGGCATGGGATGGTTGTGCACGAGTGCAGGGAAGCAACTAAAAATATTTGTGGAGATCTAAGTACACCACCCCAAAAATACACACATACTTTCCACCATTTAAATATCTTGTCTCTGGGTGGAAGCCAAACATTTTTCTATTTATTTCCACGTATGCCACCAAGATACTAAGGAATTTAATTGCCTAATTCAAAATGTTAAGAAAATACCAGAAGGCTGAACATCCTGGAAAAGGACAAGGTGTTAGGAGGATGTTAACTCATCTAGCATCATGTGCTGAAGAAAGGGAAGCGTTTCCGGTTGCTAGTGCTGTGAGCTTGCTATCAAATGATTTGTGGAAAAGGCTGCATTTGGTCTGTACAAGAAGCCAAGTTTTATCTGTGATAAGCATTGGGAACACATGCAATGATACCTCTTGTTTCCAGGCACCCTGACAGCTACTTCTAATTTGCATTTCTAGGTGGAATTAGCAGAGAAAGGAGATTTACACATTCCTTGCTGATTGGGCCAATTGGTCTGGTTTGTGCTCCACGCACCGAGGCTCCTGTAGAAGGCCAAACCTCCCAGTTAATCTTCAGAGCGACAGGAGAGATCACCTTTAGATGAAGATGGTGGTGGACTTGTGCTCAGGATACTTGTGCCACAAATTCCCTATCCAAGTCATTCAAACTCTCTTGCGACTTACTCATCTTTGCAACAGGGATAAGTCAGTTTTGACTATTTAAATTACAGTGTTCTGAGAAGAGCGAGAAAAACTTTTTATTACTGATTAAAGGAGGACAGATGAACCCTCCTCATACAAAAATTCTGCCCCTGAAGGTAATGCTGGGCAGCTGCAGTCACTCCTGATAAATGCTTGACACTGGTATCGTGGTGCCTTGCAGAAAACCAGAGCTGTTGGAGCTGGAGAGACCCACACTAGTTATCCCTTGCAGTTGCCCTCCATTCCCCCTGCAGTTCCTGAGCTGATACTGCTTTTATAAGGGGAGGCTTGTTGGAAGTATTTGCAGGTTTCCTGAGTGAGCACAGCCAAGAAAATCCCCTCCTTGCCCTCTCTCTCTTCAATTTCACAGGCTACAAGGAGAAAAGTTCACACAGGTGGGACTACTGTGATAACTTTTGTCTGAACCCAAGGATGCCTTCCCAGGAGAAAGGCCTGGAGGTGAACTGGGTAGGCACTGCTCCTGCTGCCAAAGCGAGGAAAGGACAGGCTGGGAGAGCCATTCTGCCCCAGGCAATGGTAGCAGCACATTTGGTGTCAAGTCTCTTAGCTATAAAATGCCAAGCTGCATTTGTCAGCACCTGTAACTCAGCCTGGGTGAAAGGATATTATTCTAAAATGCGATTTGTATTATATTTACTAGTGAAATACGTCTTCTTTAAAGCCATAAAATATTCAACCTTATTCATATGGTTGCAAGCTTATATCTGTGTCCTCTCCAAACTCAATCTCCTTGATTGCATCCTACCGAAAGGACAGTACCCAACCCAGATGATCAGCAGGAGTAAGCCTGGGACCTCTGCATTGATTAGCAGCAGAAGGTTGATTACCTTTCATGGTGCACTGTATTTTGGTGGTGTTTGCATTTTCTACTGATCCAGGGTCAAAATGTAGCATTTACTTCTTCAGTTTAGGAATCTCCAGGCATAAGCAATCCCTGTGATTCATGGACGAAATCAAGAGGGCATTGCAGGCTGCAAGAAGGTATGTGGCTTAGCCAGGCCTTCTGTGGGTCAAGCTGAATCCAAACAGCCAGGGAACAGGGTTCAAGTCTTCCTGATATAATTATTCAAGAGATTATGATGGACTGTGAGCCATAGGCTGCCAGAATCCCTTTGCCCTCAGTTTAGCCGCAGATAGAGCCAACACCAATGCAGACTGAAGGATTTTGTATGCAGGGAGTCTTCCTGAACACACCACCTAACACCCACAGTGTACGTGTTTCTCATGAAGTCTGCAGTGTCTTTTTTTCAAATGTATAACAAACATACAGTTGTATAATAAATGTAAATGCTTATATTAGCATGCTACGTTTTTAGAAATATGTAAATACAAATATGAACCAATAAAAAGTGGGCTCAGGATCTCAGCAAAGCTGTGGCAAATTAAACATCGAAGTTACTTACACGACCCTGTCACCCTGCGTGCTGGGCGGGTGCAGATCACGCAAAGCATCGCCATTGCAGGGCACAAACCTCTTATAAGAGAAAGACACGTATAGCTTGGCATGTGGGCTCTAATCTCCCCTTTTACATGCCGCTTGAGGCAGCTTTGCTGTTCAGCAGCAAAACAAGCAGCAGCACACAGAGAAAAGGGAGCAATGGCTTGGTTGTGTTATCACTTACCTACGGAAAAATAAAACAGGGCTTTTCAGAAGTGCGTGATGTTGGCCTGACTAGCTCCCACTGGAAATAACTAAAAATTGAGATATATTCACCGGTTTTCCTCCAGTTTCCTGTCGATCGGCCGCAGCCTGGTGTCCTTTTTAACTGCGTTATTCCTTTTCCATCTTCCATGTTAAACCCCGCCGAGCCTGGATGGCAGTCCTAGCCACCCCAGGCACCTCTCCTCAGTGACGGCAGCGGCGCCTGGCTAGCCCTGCTAACTCCCACTGTGCACCCTCAAAAGCTAGGTGGATCTCGCTCGGCGGCCATGTCTGCTGGCCTTTCTCTCTGCTTCCCCCTTTTCTTTGGGGCCGCTCTGCCTGGGTGAAACGAGATAAAATAATAATGTCCCCACAGCATATTTAGCCCAGCCCAAAGCAGTGCGTTCCCATGAGGGCCCAGAGAGGAGAGAAGGGAGAGCAGGAGGGGAATTCCAGGTGCTGTCATGGCCGCCAGCGCCTCCCAGGACACAGCGCCACCAGGCCAGGCCGCCCCAGGGGCATCCTCCCCATAAATGTTCAAAACACCTGAAAACCACCAAAAGAGCACTTTAAAAAACACCGGCCCCCACGCTCCCTGCTGCATTTGGGCAAGTATGGCTTGTGCCAGATCTTAGCAGCTTTTACCACCGAAAAATATAAAATAGATCAATTTTCTTCCTCAGAAACCCTGAGGTCTTGGGGAGGCAGCTCCGGCAATGGCCCCGTGTTTCCTGGCACCATTTTGTTTTCCCCTCATTTTCCAGCCAGCAAAATAACAATAAACAGTGTCATTTTGATATGATGTATTTATATTTACATGGTACATTTTAAAGCAATAGCTACACTGATCATACATATTAGAAACAATAAAAAAAGAAGTTAAGAACTAAAATGTACATCATACACTTGTATATATATTTTTTTTTTTTACACAGAGGTAAAAAGGCTTATAAAAATCAATACAACAGGGTTTTAACTTTTAGTATATAGATAGAATAATGATGAGGCTTCAGGCACTTTAATTTGTTAACGTGAGCGATAGCTTGGGAAAAACAAACAAAAAAAATCCTTTCCACAACAGAAAAAAAAATTTGGTTAATGTTTTGTTACCACAGATACAAAAATAAAATCTGAATAATTTCTCTCAAATGATTGATGTCAGTATTGCAAAGCTGACTGGGAGAACGCTACACACTGTTCAGCAGCAGTGTGGAAATTAAGAAATATTTACAAAAAAACACCCATTTCTATCATTGTGCCCTTACACCACTGCCTTCACAAACCAAATAACACACGCAGCAAAATCTACAAGTATTACAAAAACCAAGAGAAGAGGGAGGAAGGAAGAGGGGAAGAAAGGAAGGGGGGAGGAAGGAAAAAGGAAAAAAAAAAAAAAAAAAAAAAAAGAGGGATTTTTTTTTTTTAAACTTTTATTTCCAGACATACAGAAAGGCTTGGAGTATGTCTACTTTACTTAAATAAATAGGGGCACTTCAAGACCGGACAAAAAGCTGTAAGATCTTTTTGTAGTGTTGTGCTTTATAGAGAGAAGATCTTACAGAAGTTTGTTTACATGAAACAACTTTGAGAACAGAAAAAGAAGGAAAAGGTTGTTCCATTAATATTTTTTTTTCCGAGGCTGGCTTGATGTTTACTAGACACCATTGAGAGATTTGTCAATTGCTATTAGGCACAAAATATTTATATTTCATTCAGCAAACCCAGACACATCACCCAGAGTGTAACACTCCATCCCTTTTCCACTATCATTCTTTTTTTTTCCCAACCGAAAAAATCCCCAGCAACTGCTACGAATTAAGCCTACCAAACTCTATAGTGTATAAGCACATTGCATACTTAATTCATGTTTGACTAGAAAGCTGTGATTAACTCTCAGAGGAACCGTTGGGGCATTCCACCAAGAAAGAATGGCAAGTGTTCCTTTTATATTTATTTGGCAAATTAATTTAAAAAAAAAAAAAAAAATCCTCTCTTTTAAGACTGATGTCAATGTGCAATAGAGGGAGGGAAAGGACATGCGCCCACTGGCAATTTACTGCAGAAAGAAATTATGGCAGGAACAGCAGTGCCAGCTTTGACAAGCCAATCCCTAGCTGCCTCAAAGTATTCGGATTGTACTATGCTAGTTAGAGCTCACTGCGCTAAATCTTTTTTTTTTTTTTTTTAATAAAAATTATTTGGCTATTCCTTGTAATATATTAGAAAAATACTCTTTTTCCAAGCTAATTACAAGCCTTGTACACAAGACAACATGACATTTAAAAAAAAAATAAAAAAATTTAAAGTAATCTTAGCCTGCTGTATGCACCTTATGCATCCACTTGATAAATCTGGGTGGTGAACTGGGGAGGGGAAAGCCAGGGAGACGCTTCGGTCTGGCTCCTGCAAAGATTCACATGCTTAATCCTACACACAGAGTCACAGAGACGCCAGCTGCACGTGCAATACGTCAAGACATGTGTAAGCATCTGGAGGATTGGGACCGCAGGTCAGGAAATGGAAGTGGTGGTTAACATCCTGGCTCTTGATTTTAAATACCTGTTTAGATTGCTAAATGTAGTTTCTACCGTGGACGCATATGTTCTCATGCTCATGTATTATACAGAAAACAAACAAACAAATATGATTTTCCATATAATCCACCACTTAATGCAGCATTTCCCCAGAATTGCCATAATAGTGCTTTTGACGTTGCATTGTTAGTAATTCTTTGCATAACAACAATTTTCCTCAACTGGAACCTTAGTGTTTTATTCACAGATCATTATTACATGGCTGGCTAATGAAGAAGTTCCCTTTCTTTTGGGCAGAACTCTGAAAACACAGTTTTATTTTTCCAATGTTATTTAGGGAAAAAAGAAAACCCTAAAATTTAAGTTTCCCTTTCAAGTAGTGGTCTGAAATGATTACAGGTAAGAACTACCAGATTCTCAATGGTTATGTGACTATGGTGGCTGAGCCTTGCTTTCTGTTCACAGAGCTTTATGAACAGAGAAATAATTTAAGATGTTTGCTGAAGGAAATGATGATGGACTCTAGAAGAGAAACCGCAGCTTAGATGGCTATTTTGGCTTTGGAAAACAACAAAAAACCCAAAGAAAACCAGTGACAGAAATACTGTGTTGTGGTACAAGTTTGTTACTAGCACACCTTCTATACACACACAATAACTTGACAGCAAGTTAAAATATCTTCCAAGTGAGATTTCATTCACTATACCACCCCGTTTCTAGAAATGCCAAACCTTGCTAACACGCTGATGGTACCACACAAGCGGAGGCAAGACGGACACAACCTGGAGATGTTCTACAATCCACCACCATTTAAAGCAGTTCTTTTCTCAAACTCATTTTAACTGGAAAAAAAAAAAACAAACAAAAAAACAAACAAAACCAAAACCCCAACAACAACAAAAAAAAACAAAAACAACAAAAAAAAACATGTACAAGACAGTCTGTTTCGATTACAGATTAATAATACAAAAGTCTATGCTGTAGGTTAGTTAGTTAGAACACTTGATGAGCAAATCAATGCAGCATGAGCCCCAGATGACCGAATGTGAAGTGATCCGAACTGGTGGTTTCTGGATGCTGTCGGGCACAGTGGCTGCATCAAAATGAGTGACCTCAATGCTCCGAAACCAACGTGTTCCTCGAACTACAGGAAAAACGTAACACTTTGAATGCATCTGTAGTCATCCAGCAGCTTTGTGTTTTCCACCACAGCACCTGCACATGACCCCACAGTGGTAACAAGCCCGAAGCGGCAAGTAACAGCACATACATGGAGCAATGAAAGACAAGGCGATAAGGGCCATCCACCGGAGGCAAAACATTTCATCACTGGTGTCGCACGAGCAAGGATCTGTATAGTCTCCTTCTGGATCGGACATACAGTGATAGAGCATAGTGTCTGCGCACCACATACAGCTCACTCGATGGATGCAAGTCTTGACACGGTCTGGAGCATCCTGGCACTGACCCCGTTTGTTCTCCTCATGGTTGAACATGTCCCTGCAGTACACACACCGTGACCTCTCACCATCTTCCTTCCGCCTGGGCTTGAATTTGACAGGTTGAGTCTTTATCACAGCACCCTTGATATCTTCACCCAGGTCAAAGTCCGAGTTGTCTACGTAAGGGTAAGTGTATTCATGTTTTGAGGCCTCGCTTTTGGCAAAACGTACGTAGGAGTCCATGTCATCATGATCAAAGTTCTTTCCTCGTGCTGGGGCATGGCGATAGTCCTCGTATCCAGTCATCCAAATCTTTTCCCGAGGATTGATGCGCACTATCTCCTCATCATCGTCTGGGAAGTTGACATGCCGGTAGGATCGCGGTACTGACTGTGGAAGTAGGGATGAAGAGGGAGGAAAGGTAAATAAGCTCACTTAGCTATCAGCAATCACCATCTCCTTGCTTAGTGAGAAGCCAGTATCTAAGAATTTTGTCTTTCCTTCTTTGTATGCCCTTCACAGTGACCCATCACAGTTTCAGCCTTTGGCTCAGGAATGAGTACAACTGTCACAGACCTACAATGGTCTGTATGCACGTGGTACAACGTAACATATTAGATCACAGTGTAACCCCCCCCCCCCCAACCTTTTATTATTTTTTTTTTTTTAATAATTGGAAGCCATTTAAAGCACACTGAAAAGAAAAAGGGAAGAAAGGAAGGGCGGGAGGCGTCTTTCAGGGATGTATGTGGGAAAACCAAACACCAATCTTAGCTATGGCAGACACAGCCCTTTAGGTGGCAACACTGGGAAGAAACCTTACTTGTTCTAGATGGTAGTGGTCAGAGCTATAATGGTCATGAAGGTGTCCACGAGTGCAAATTCTTCGATGTTCGCAGGATGCAGGAGAAGCCAGAGTTCGCACAGGCTGTTCCCTTTTTTGAGAGGAGTTAGAGGAGCTATCTGTAGCATTCTGTTTTAAATGGAAAGGGGGGAAAAAAATCGTCATACAATCAGCTGTTACTGCACACTGCATTAAAAGAGATGTTTTGCCACTCACTGACTTTGTGCACACCTGCAATGTTGGCAACATCTGACAGCAGGCAGCTTCATAAAGTTTCACATAAAATACTTGAAAGAGGCAGATCTGTTGCCAGGCCATAAAAGCTGTCGCCACCCACATGGAAAAATAATATGCCATAGCCTACCCATGACATATTCACCAACACCACTCATATTCGCTTGGCATATTAGTTGTTATACTGGGCACTGCGGGATGATGAGTGTTCATGCTAGGAGCTAACTCCAAAGAGCAAAGTTAAACTCCGTCAAATGATGCAATCGTGTAAGTCCTGCAAGCAGACCCAGACAGAGCATCTGTGTGCCTGGGCTGCACCCGACTAGTTTCCCAGGCTACAAAAATACCAGCAATTTTGTTAACCTGCAGGCGTCCCATTCAGCCAAAAACTCCTTCACATGTTCTTCTCCAAACACTCATCAAATTCCAGTTCTTCGCAGGCTACTTGAATACTCAGCTTTCCTTTAAACACTTCAGGTTTATTTTTTCTGCTTTTGTCACTAATCTCAAATGTGCAATGAATGTTACTTGTGTTTTTATACATTCCTGGCTCATGGTGAGCACTTTCTTTAGGTTAATTAGTTACATCATTATACAACGACAATCATGACAGGTTGAAACATCACACAATAACATGCTGTTGCCAATACCCTCAGCTTCTTCATATATCTATTTCTTCTCCTGGAGAACTACACAGTGAGGTACCAGTCTTAGACATCCCCTCTCCATAGCCATTCCTTGGCTAAAATAGTTTCCATACGACACCTAGACATTCAGGACTTTGCCCATTAATTCCTTTCATATATTGGTTAGGATTTTTCATATTACCATGAATATCAGACGAGAGCTGTTAAATGCACTAACTGATCAGGAGCAGGAAAAAGAGCCTCCATGCACAACGATCAGAAGAGCTGTAACACTGCAAGTGCCTAAAATATTGGTGCTTTCAACTAAGAAGAATTTCCATCCCCCTCCAACTACTAAGCTATGCTGCAGCTATGACAGGTCCAAGGGAAAGGCTTCCATTTGCCACAACAGTTAGCTAGAGACACAACCTCGAGAGCGGAGAAAAGTTGTATCGGTAATGGGAGAAGACTGGTTCTACCTGAAAAACCTTCTCTCCTTGTCAAGAATGCACTCTCAAAATATTATTTTCCAATGAATCGTACTAGACACGTCTTTTACTCCAAGAATACAAGAATGCTCATTGTGGTATTTGTTTATTCTAAAAATGTTTGGCAAGATTCTGTCCAAAGGTGAGCACACCTTAAAGCATTACAACAGAAAATAGATGTTGATCCTCTTTAGCCAGTAAAGCAGCACTTAAAAACACTGAACTCCCAACTTACTTTGTTGAAAGCAAATATACATCTGTTTGCAGTGTGATGTAAAGCCAAGCTGGGTTATCTGAGAGGTAAAACAAGCAGGATGAGTTCTGAATAGCTGACCCACCCATTAGGAACAGACTTTTAATGCATGTGTTTGTTTTGGTTGTTTTTAAACAAGTCCCTGGAAGCAGAACAACTCTTAAGATAGTTAACAACACTTCTAAAATGTAACTGCACAGATACGCAGGCTCTTTTTAAAAGGTGGTTTCATCAGCCCAGTTTTCATAACTTATTAGACAACGCCACTTCGAATCTGGGGTTTAAACCCTTCAAAGCTAATCTTTGTGCCAGTAACTTCAGGTCCTACAATATCTAAGTACGTTTTGGGGACATTTCGAAAGAAAATAAGCAGCTTCTACAAGCAAGTACTTCATAACACCATTAAGCTTCCAACTTATTTGGAAAACCTGAGAAGAGTCAGGATTTAGTTACAATAGCTGCCTCATACGAGTACCTTTTTGCAGTGCTGTATGTGGTGCAGACCCGGATGCCGAGCGGTAATTTAAGCTTCTCAGAACAACAACAGAAAGGCATACGCCCCGTAGCCCAGGCAGCCTCAGCCCACAGCTTGCTCTCAAAGTTAAACTTTGACTGGCATGAACCAAAAAGGAGGCAGGGCCTTAACACGGTGCTGTGCCAGCCAGCCTTCACCTTCACTGGAACCACAGCCGAGCCCTGCTGGCACAAGCCTTTTGTGAATACACTCCGAAAAAATCATGGGTGCTCATGGTTAAAATAACGAAGCCTGGGAAAATTACCCAACTGGAGGAGGCTGCACATACTGGCCTGCAACACCCTCACCCTCCTAGATGAAAATAAAAATCCCAAACTGGATATAACTGCTAGATAATCTCAGCGGGGCAGCTGGGAGCTATAACCAACCCTCCGAGCAGTGTGCTATTTGCTGCCTTTTGGGGAACGCAGTACTTCTGCAGCAGGCAATTGGAAAAGAGGCTGTAGTGACTTTTATCTTGACCAATTCTTATCTACTCTTGCTTTCCTCCACACCTTATTCTCCTTCAGACCCGTTGGGGCAACCGAGCCTCTCCTCCACATGTGTTGACATGGCTACAGAACCTGTTTGCAGCATACCACAGAGGCTATGGCTCTGGCCTCCGCTTTCACCTTATTAAAAATTGCTGCATTTCCATGTTCAATGTCCTCAGATTAGAGGGGCAGGTTGCCAACACAAACACTTACTCTAAGTGCCCAGAAAGGGAGAAAGCAAGCTATCCGAGACAAGGTCTCTGCTCACTCATCTGTAAAAAAGTTCACACTGCCTCCTGGTTGATGACGCTAAAGGCAACTGGTTGATAAAGGCAGATGTCTGCAGGGTTACTCTGCTGACCATTGGCCGGGATAAGTACTCTTTCTTTCCAGCAAGGTCCCCCATCAAAGCTTCAAACTTCTTCAAACTTCCATAGGAAAAGAGAGAAGGGTCTAGACACATAGGAATGAACAGTTTAAAGATTAGGGGTAAAATATCCCACTCCCAAGCAGGTCACCAATGAACCCCAAAAGCTGTGAACCCCAATGAACCTGTGCTGGAAAGAATACTCATCAATGATCTAAAGAGAGGTGAACAAGATGACACAGTTTTCTGATGAAAACTTAAGTTATTCAAGGGAGTAAAAATAAAAACTGACCCTGAAAACTTGCTTAAGAATCTCACAATGCTGAGAGACTAGATGTTTAAAAAAAAAAAAAAAAAAAAAATTATCCCTAAAGTGCAAAGTGACGGAAACACCTTGATCTGACATGCACAATGATGCACTCTGAGCCAGCTATCGCTGTTCAGGAAAGAGGTCTTGGGGTTAAAACAGACAGCCCTGTGCAGTGTCAGCTTGGCAGCTCAGCCAGAGATAGAAAACAAAAGCAGCAGCAATAAAGATGATCATCAATTGCATGTATCTGTTGTGCTTCCCCAATCATTCTGTGGTTCTGGCCACCCCCTTCTACCCTGTGACAATAAAAGGGTATTTCTGCCACGGCAAGTTCACAGGGCCATGGTTGGGACAATCGAGGACACGGGACGGCTTCTCAACAACAGCTAACTAAGTAGTCTGGGTCTCTCCAGCCTAGAAAAGAGATGATGGAAGGGACCGTGAAGACGGGTAGAGAAGTTTCCCGAATCGTGAGTCCCATGGGAATGTGAGCAGGAAGAGATTATTCTTCTGGTATCCTTCAAAAGAGAAGATCACAAGGCATTCACTGGAACAGGCTCAGATACTTCCGACAGAGCCCAGTTAAAAGTATATAGAGAAACCCTCAGAAGAAAATAAGTGATCAAGGATAAAAGGCTTGATAATGCTCAGGCCTTCAAAAGTATACTGTTCTCTCTCAGTACTACTCCACTGGGACACTAGGACTGAACCTGGACTTGGTGACCCGCAAGAATCAGACACGTTCTCAAAGAAAAGGAACTCTCATCTTCAGCCAAATGCCACTACAAACAAATGATGGAAAGCCTCTGTCAGTGATGGAAGCAGGGAAAAACTTCTGTCCCCCATGACAAGACTGGGTCTTGGCTGGGATTTTCTACCATCAGCACAGCAGTGAAAATTTTGGGGAGGATGGTGGACTGGGGAGACATGAGAGGTTTGCTGAAGGTCACCCAAATAAACCACACTTGCCTACAGGAATATATCTATGAAGGAGGTGGTTTCCAGAGCCAGGCTATCTCGCCAATGAAAAAATGTGTCCCAAACCATCAAGCCACTGGTGTGTCAGAGAAATGCTATCTTCCTCTGAAGTCTGCTGAAACCAATCCAGCTCCAATATTTGTTTTTGAGGGGAAACTATTGAAAACATGCCCAGTAGCCACATAAGAGAAATGAACCCAGAACTAAAGTTGTTGGAACAGGGAGTCCAGTAAGGAACTCTGTTTCAACACACCCTCAAATGCTCATTTAGAGAAATTCGTGCAGCACGTACTAGAGCTTTGTGATTACTGTGGCAGTCGTGAAGTCTTGTGGTTTCACTGCTCGGATAACAAAATCATTAATCATGACCATAATAGTAATTTTATAAAGCCCATGCAATACATTTCCTTTTGCAAGTGAGCTGTACATATCTGAGTGAGCACACATACTTTTGATATGGCTGCTTTGAGAAACAACACCAGGCTTCTACATGCAAATGACTGCACTGTGATCATTTAAAAAAAAAAAAAAAAAAAAAGTGTCTCTGTTTCCCCCTCAAACTTTTAGAAGTGACTCATTAAATTAAAAACCGCTAGTCATTAGTAAAGAAGATTATGTTAATCATTTACTGCAGTTTACTTCTCATTGAAATGGATTTGTTACACAAGAACTACCAGCTAATCAGGTGCCTAAGTAATATTCTGAGATAAACTTCTATCCTAAAAAATGATGAGAAAAAGAAGCCTTCTCCTGCTCCTGGACTGATCACCTCGCCTCTAGTGGCTTTACAGAATAAGTTCACCCTGTGTGATGCAACATCCAAGGGTGACTACGAAAAAGAAGAAAGATTAATCTCAAAATTATG